TAAGTGATTGCCTTAGATCACTTATGATGACCAGCTGATCACGCAGAATCAGGATTGAATCTGAAGCCAGGATTTGGTGCACTGTGGAGCTCTTAGTGGGATTATCTGTGTCATGTGGCCACACAAAAGGGGTAAGTAAGTAATTTTGGTACTCAGGAAGATAGTTCAAGTAAGCAGCTATTTGGTAGTTATTAATAACCAGGTTTGTGCTTTTGAACTGTGGTATTGGAGAAGATTCTTGAGAGTCCCTTGGACTGCAAGGAGATCTAACCAGTCCATCCTAAAGGAGATCAGTCCTGGGTGTTCCTTGGAAGGACTGATGCTGAAGCTGAAACTCCTGTACTTCGGCCACCTGATGTGAAGAGTTGACTCATTGGAAAAGACCCTGATGCTGGGAGGGATCGGGAGCAGGAGGAGAAGGGGACGACAGAGGATGAGATGGCTGGATGGCATCACCGACTTGATGGACATGAGTTTGAGCAAACTCCAGGAGTTGGTGATGGATAGGGAGGCCTGGCGTGCTGCAATTCATGGGGTCACAAAGAGTCGGACGTGACTGAGCGACTGAAGTGAACTGAACTGAACTGAATAACCAGGTGCTACTACACCTTCTGTGGGTGAAGGCAAAGACTCAAGAAACAAGAGTTCGTAGTGTTAATTCCCAGTATTAACCACTAGTCCTACTTTCCCCTGGTATAACCTGCCTGGTCTTCACCTTTGCCCAGCCTTATTCTTAGGGACTAGGTGACTTCCTCCATCTCTTCCCCAGCCATCTCCTGTTTGATCTCTACCAGCCCTCCATGGAAGGGGCCTCAGAGTTGGCCCATTGCTCAGCTCTTCTGAGTCATGGTTGCCAGAAGTCTTTGTAGGCTAATGCTTCCTTCCTTTATCATATGTCACATATCAGTGTCCACATATTACACAGGTGCACATTCTTGATTTTACCCACGCATATAGGTGCTAGGCACATTATTTGATATCAGAACAAAGCCTGTTCAGTCCTTATGCTGAAAGTTCCCTAAGGGTAGGGGCCAAATGTCTTCCTCTATCTTTTTTTAAATGTTTCATTTTATTTTTCGTAATACCATGTAGCTTATGGGATTTTAGTTTCCTGACCAGGGATTGAACCTGCACTCTAGGCAGTGAAAACATAGAGTCCTAACCACTGAACTGCCAGGGAATTCCCTCTCTTCCTTTGTTTGGGATTCCTCCTCTCCCACCGGAGGAAAAAATATTTGTACCTAGCACCCAACTAAAGAAGGAAGTGGTGTAGCCTCCCTAAGATGTAGAAGATGCCAATGAGGAGAGCAGGCAGGATTTCAAATGTGTGGGTGAAGCCAGAGGCTCCTAAGAACACCAGAGGAAGGCTAAGTATAGTCTCTACTTGAATAACACCTTTTTTTCTTTTCAAATTAATCTTGTTTTTTTTTTCATAACCATGGCCCTCTACTAAGTTATCCCTGTTCTCAAGGTTCATGCACATAGGGGCTGGACTTATTTTTGATAGTGAAGGAATTTCATATACAGGTTGCATAGCTGTGAGAGGCCAGTGGGAGTAGTATAACCAGAATTTATTCTCATTTACTCTTCAGACCAAGCCAGTGGAGGAAGTACTGACTGGTCCTATGACTCTGGCATCAAATACTCATTTGCTTTTGAACTGAAAGACAGACAGGTTGATATGGCTTCCTCTTGCCAGCCAATCAGATCTTCAGTTCAGTTAATCAATTCAGTCACTCAGTTGTGTCCAAATCTTTGCAACCCATGGACTGCAGCATGCCAGGCTTCCCTGTCCATCACCAGCTCCTGGAGCTTGCTCAAACTCATGTCCATTGAGTCAGTGATGCCATCCACGCATCTCACCCTCTGTCATCCCCTTCTCCACCTGCCATCAATCTTTCCCAGCATCAGGATCTTTTCCAGTGAGTCAGTTCTTCGCATCAGGTGGTCAAAGTATGGCTCCTCTGTCCATGGGATTCTCTAGGCAAGAATACTGGAGTGGATTGCCATGCTGTTCTCCAGGGGATCTTCCCGACCCAGGGATCAAACCTGCATGTCTTATCTCCTACAATGGCAGGCAGGTTCTTTACCACTAGTTCCAGCTGGGAAGCCCAGTCAGATCTTCAGTTCAGTTCAGTTCATTTCAGTTCAGTTGCTCAGTCGTGTCCGACTCTTTGCAACCCCATGAATCGCAGCACGCCAGGCCTCCCTGTCCATCACCAACTCCCGGAGTCCACCCAAATCCATGTCCATCAATTTGGCGATGCCATCCAACCATCTCATCCTCTGTCGTCCCTTTCTGCTCCCANTTTCTCATGATGTACTCTGCATATAAGTTAAATAAGCAGGGTGACAATATACAGCCTTGATGTACTCCTTTTCCTATTTGGAACCAGTGTGTTGTTTCATGTCCAGTTCTAACTGTTGCTTCCTGACCTGCATATAAGTTTCTCAAGAGGCAGGTCAGGAGGTCTGGTATTCCCATCTCTTTCAAAATTTTCCACAGTCAGATCTTAGCCACAAGCAAAAGAGACCTGGCTTGGCTTGTAGACAGTCATGGAGCATGTGTGAGACTGCCCCCATTAGGACTCTGGGGACTAAATACCATTAAAAGCTCTTTGATTGGAAGCAAAGTTAGGTTATGATTATTCCTTTTTCTAATCCTGATATAGGAATATTATATCTTTGATTTATGTTGCCCTGAAACACAGCAAACCGCTATTTTAAAGATCTTTATCTTTTAAAATCCCATTTAAAGCAAATGCTACCAACATCCTTTAAAAATTAAAAGAAATTATGGTGAAATATACATATCGTAAAATGATTTTAACCATTTTGAGTGTGCAGTTCAGTGGCATTCGGTGCCTTCACAGTGTTGTACAATCATCACCATCATCGATCTCCAGAAATTTTCCGTCATCCCAAGCTGAAACTGAACCCATTAAGCGACAACTTCCTGTTTTTTCCTCTCTCCAGCCTGTGGTAATTCTGTTCTATTTCTGTCTCTATTAATTTACCTGTTCTAGGTACCACATATAAATGGAATCATATAGTACTTGTCCTCTCATGACTGGCTTATTTCACTTAGCATAATGTTTTTGAGATTCACCCATGTTGTGGTATATGTCAGCTCCTTCATCTTAATAGAGTAACATTTTAGAGCTAGAAAGGGACTTTTGAGTTTATTAGTTCAATAAATACTAGTTAAGCAACTAGATTGTGCTAAGTATCATGCTAGGTGCTACATACTCTGGATCCATTGTTGACTTTTGCTTTTCTGTTTCTGATACACTGCATGATAAAAGCTAGTGATGGCAAACCAATGACATTCCTCCCTCCAGGCTGCTCCATCAGTCTGAGTCTCAGATTCCATATAATTTCTCTTTAGACATTAACTTCCATTAGAGATTTGGATTTTCTTCATGTTAATGGCTTTCCTTGCGAGATATGGGTGGGAAGTGAATTTCAGCTTGCCTGGAATTCTGAATGCTTGATTACTTAGTTCAGATTTCTTGCAGATTTAGGTCTCAGCGTCTCAGGCTGAACTCTCTCTTGGTGAAGTAGAGCCCAGCTTTTTTGACAGATCAAGGTGGGCCTAGAAATTCATTTTCAGTGTTGGAAGGACAGAAGAGCCCTGATAGAGGCCCCCCAGCTCCACAACTCCTGACCAGCTCTTCTTGACCAAACCTTAGACAGGCTTCCCTGATCCCTCTTTTCTACTAGCTTTATCCTCGGACCCTAAGTCAGTCTTAGCAAAGAATGCTGACAAGTCATCCCTCAGTCCTTGATATCTGATTAGGTTCCTTATTCTCCACCATTGATGTCTAAATCTGTAGCCTGCCTTTTGCACAAATCCTGTTAGGTCAGTTAAACAAAAATTCTCCCTATACTTTGTGTCTCCTCTTAGCAATTTTCCATCCACTGACCTCCTTGCTCTGCTATATTTAATAGATTTGAAGTTGAACACAATATCTCCTGTTGCATGACCTCTATTGCAATAACCATTTTTTTTTTTTCTTTTTGACCACACTGCACAACACATGGGATCTTAGTTCCCAACCGGTTCTAACCTGTTTAAAGGTTAGAGGCTTCCTGTGGGCCTTGCATTGGAAGCATGGAGACTTAACCACTGGACCACCAGGGAAGTCTTGTTGCAATAACCTTGAATAAAGTCTCCTTTATAGTTGTAACAAATATCAGAATAACATTTCTTTAACACTCCCAACCCTTGGTTGAATCCACTCCCCTTGAGAAAGTACAGAAAAAGTGTAGATGGGGCGCCGATAGGATGGGGGAGGCTTGTGCGATCTGGGGCACCTTGGACTGACTGAAAGGCTCCAGAGTCCTTGAAGTGGTGGAGATCATGAGTGTCTTGCACTTATTCTGCTGTGACTTGGTAGAAAGGACACCAGACTCGGAATCTAGTAAATGTCAGAAAGTTTTATTATTAATAATACCATTAAGCCTTATCTTTTTAGATTCCAAGGAAAACTAATAATTTATAAAGACTAACATATTTCTCCTATACCGTGTACCTCATATATGTTTGCCTTGTTAGTAGAGTCAGAAAAATTAGGTGTCAGATTCAAAACAGAAGCCACAAACTTTCCATCATGATCTACTCTCACCAGAGAAGGACTTGTCAAGTGTGTGAAGTGTGTGGTCTTGGAGTTGACTTGGGGTTTCTTTGGTAGTCTTTACTTTTATTCTAGAGCTAACACAATCTCAGGTTTATAATCTGGCCTCTTCTGTCAGTGTAAGTTCTGTCCAGGCCTGTGGAACTTCCCTATTTACTCAAAAAACAATACTTAAAACCAAGTGTTGAGTAATACAAAACCCTTGTCACAGACTTTTCCAACCTGAGGAGCAAATTTCTGACTTTGTAGGTCAAGAGGCTTGGCCTATATCACTCAAAAGGAATGGAACAGGCATCAAAGACCCACCTGATGTACTGTCAAAGTTGCAAGGGTCCTTGGGAATCATATTAGCATTTTTGAGGATATGAGTCTGCCTCAGACTCCTTATAAATACAGCTTGACTCAACCACTGTATGACTGGCATCCTTGGAACATGAAGTGGATACTGTTCTTTGGGGCCCTTATCGGCTCTGGCATCTGTGACCGAGAAACATTTTCTGGGTAAGTTCCTTTTGGACTTATTACTTAGTTCAGAAATACAAGAACCAAATAGATTTCGACATGAATGGCTGATTGTACCTCAGGTGGTATGGTGCTGGGAGGGAAGACCTGGATTCCTGTCCCAGCTCTGCCCCTGTATCATCTTGGACCAATTACTTCTTTCTCAGGCTCCGTTTTGGCTGTTGTGTCAAAACTAGGTGGCCTTCAGTTCCTCCTTAGCCCCGTAATTCCTGCCAGTTCTTTCTTCCTGGTTCTTATTCCTAAGGTCAGTTTCAGGCATCTCCTACTTTCTTACTCCTGTGCTATGAACTACTAAGAATTACTAATTGTTTCTAATTTCTGCTATGTTTTGTTGTTTATTTGCTGAGTTGTGTCTAACTTTTATGACCCTATGGACTGTAGCTCACCAGGCTCCTCTGTCCGTGGGATTCCCCAGGCAAGAACACTGGAGTGGGTTGCTCTTTCCTTCTCCAGGGATCTTTCTGACCTAGGGATTGAACACGTGGCTCCTACATTGGCAGGTGGATTCCTTACCGCTGAACTACCAGAGAAGCCCAGTTTCTGCATGCTTAGGGGAAAACCTGGGCTACATGCTTCTTGGCTTCACCTTCCTGTTAATGGTTAAGGCTTGGCAGACCCTTCTTGGTAGCATCTAGCATATGGAGATTTGATGGGTCTTGCTTAGCCTTAGCTATGAAAAGCAAGAGTGCACCTGTACGTTCTGTGTGAGCTTGCGCTCCACATAGAATGCCTTTTGGTTTACAAGGGAGAGGACACTTGGGAGCTAGGAGAGGTGAAAGGATGCCGTGGTACCCTACTGGAAGATTGAATTCTAATGACTCATTACTGCATAGTGCTTGGCCATTTGCAAAGAGCTGTCACATACATTATCTTTTGGATCACACAATTCTGCCAGGCAGGGGTGTTATTTTCCTCAATTTAAACATGAAAAAAATTCAGCCTTAGAAAGATTAAGAAACCTGCCCAAGGCTACTTAGCTGGTAAGCAGAGGAGCTGGAATCTGAATGCAAAACCCAAGTGCAGTCCATGGGGTCACGAAAAGTCGGACATGACTGAGTGACTGAACAACAATCTCCAGAAAGAATCCTATATCTAGCTGATTTGTCTATATCTGTTATTTTACTCTCCATTATACTATCTGGCTAAAGGGACTTTGAGGTTGTTAGTTGAAGTAATTGCTTATATGTGATTGAGTAATTTTTATGGTGATGACTTCCGTTCACACCTGGTCTCTACTGCCAAATAGCTCAGAGTGCTTAGGCATAACGGGTGGTAAGGGAAGGAGATTTTTCCACAGGCAGCTCAGCAGTAAGTGTGTAATAACTACATTTGCTGCCATGTGGGCTGACGCATAGAGCTCTCAGGCTCCCGCTGCACCTATTCACATGGCTGACAAAAATCTTTATTTCTCAAGATACAGACTTCTCATATAATGCAGTGGACACCTGGGCTGAGACTGCTTGGCTGGGCTCTAGAGTGCTCGCCATAGGAGCTTACACAGAAAGCACTGTGTGCCTGAGCAAACTGCAGACAGTTTTAATCAATAGTGTCATCCTTATCCCCAAATCTTTCTCCCCTTATAGTAGGGAACCCAGCAAAGGTGGAGGAATTCTTCCTGAGGTCCATAGACATAGCCTAGACACCCAACTTGGTGAACATTTAGAGCAAGGGGAAGTTGGTCTCTGAGCATTCAAGTGGTTGGATAGCCAGGAAGCAGGTTGGGTTGTAGGGGCAACAGTGCTAATGGAGATGGAGGTGATGGTTTCATCCCCCCATACCCCCAATCTCTGCTCCTTCCACCTAACTCACCTACCTCCCCAGTCTCTCTCACTCTGCTGGTGTCTTCTGTTCTGGGCGCCACTCATCTTAAGGATAGGATGGTGGCCAGGATGCCTCAAGGTGTGCAGCAATCAGAGAACAGGAAATAGTTGCAGAACTTGTAGCATCGGCAGTAACTGGTAGGCATTTAAGAGTTCCATGAAGTCATCTCAGATGTGGTGGCTTCTAAGACTGGCTGGGGATGCAAGTAAGAAAGGCACAAAGAATGTGCTGCTTGGCCACCCATATGGTGAAAGGGAGGAGGGATAGAAGCTCGGAACCAAGGTGACTACTGACTGTCCAGAACATGGGCCGAGTGTGAGAGTGACTGAGAGTGGATCTCTAACCCATTGTGTTGGCAGCAGCTGCCAGACCAGGTATTGGAGAGCACCAGAGTTAAGAAGAGCTGTAGGAAAACCTACCTTTGTGGAGTAGAAAGGGTAAACATGGCAACCTGCAAACCCCAGCATGTCCCCCTTCCCAGGCCAATTTTCCATCTTCAGAAAGAGCTTAAATCCTTGAAAACATTTCCAGATGGTGGAGATAGGTTATGTTCCACCACCCACACTCTCGGGGTGCATTTTCCAAATAGAGACAGAGGTAGTGAGGGCAAGAGAAAGGCTGCCCCTCAACTGGCACCCACTTGTGTTTTTTCTGTTTCTAGGTATGGATAAACTTATGTTCATGAGAATAATGTTAGATCCTCCCTGCCTTCTGCCGGTTTTTAATGCCATCTGAAGATTGTCGCTAACATTGTCTTTTCTGGTTGAGGAAAACCTTATGGGTGATGAAGGTTGGTACTAAAGCCTGGGTGAGAGATTAGCTAGGCAGATAAAGAAAAGCACTGGACATCCAGGCAGAGGAAACAGCATGTGCAAAGGCATAGAAGGGCAAAATGTATGGTGAATTTGGGATTTGAATGAGGCTGGAGCCAAGAATGTGTAGGAGGGAGAGGCGGAGGAGAGACATGTGGGGAAAGACTCTATTCTGTACCAGCTCTTCCGCCCTGCCTGTCTGCATGTTACAGATGTGTCTTTATCCTTTGGAGCTGGGCTAATTAGGACATAATGAAATGAGCTGTGAGTTTAATCATCATCAGGGCCAATTAGATTCCCTGTACTCCCTTGTGGACTGTGCCCAGGAGTATGAAAGTTCTGCTGTGAAGTTACCACTTTGGGAGAATTAAGGCACATGCTGTGGATGAATGTGTAACATGGTTTTAATATTCTTAAGAGCCCATTATTCTTATGTTCCTCTTTTTTTCTCTTCCTATTCCTTCTTCCTCCTTGTTCTCTTTGTGATACTCTAGTCAATGCTGTATTTTACCGATACCTCATTTTGCTAACAGAGATGCCAGTGCACAGGCACTTTTCAGAACACCCATTTTAAGAAATTTATTTTTGATCAGAGGATAACTACTTTACAGTATTTTATTGGTTTCTGCCATACATCAACATGAATCAGCCATAGGTATAATATGTCCCCTCCCTCTGAACCTCTCTCCCATTCCACCCCCCCTCCTCCCCATCCCACCCCTCTAGGTTATCACACAGTCCCGGTTGAACTTGCTGTGTTAAACAACAAATTTCCACTGCCTATCTGTTTTACATAATGTATATGTTTCCATGCTGCTCTCTCCATTCATCCTACCCTCGCCTTCTCTCATTGTGTCCACAAGTCTGTTCTATGTCTGCATCTCCATTGCTGCCCTGAAAATAGGCAGAGCACCCATTTTTAAGATGCCCCTTTTTCTGGAGTGTTGAGGACAGGTTGTGACAGAGCATGAGTTCTACAGATGGGTCCTGGTACTCAGCTAGGAGGAAGGGTTTCCTTTCTGTTTTAAACCTGTTACTTTTGCAAGGCTGCTTGCCTGTTTCAGGGAAATGGTGGTTTGATTCCCCATCTTTCCAGGGCTGCAGTCCAACATCTAGCAAGTCTATCAGGTTCAGGCTGATACCTGCCAGCCAGTGGCTTCTGCACTGTGGCCTCAGGGACTCCCATGGGATGCACTTGGCTGTCCACCTCCCAGGACCCTGTGGAGACCAGATGAGCAGGGGGAAAGTGAGGCTTCAGCAATGGCGTTCCCTTCAGATCTGCTGCCTGCAACAGAAGCAACTCTGCAGCAGACCTTACCTCCTTAGAGGCTAGACCAGACCCCCTGGAGACCCCCCAGAAGCTCCCAGAACAAAGTTAAGCTCTGAGAGTTCATCCGGATTAGACCGGTTTTCTGATGAGGAGATGCTGATCTGCCACGTGAGGCTGCACGTTTAGCTCCCTGTGACAGAACCGTTTTCTCTGTCAACAGGTCCTTCAGCCCACAGCCGTCTCCAGCAGCTCTTCCCGCATTCATTTGTGTCAAAGGGATGACGCATGTGACAGTGTTGAGTGCCGATTCATTCGGGCCGTCACCTAGCAACGGCCTAATGGCTCCCCTGGCTCTCTGAGCCGGCTGAGAGCACAAAGGCAGCTTTTCAGGCTTGGCCTTCTCCCACCCACACACAGGACTTCGGGGGCCTCTACCCCTGCTGCTGCTGCGGGAGCTAAATGATGTATAGGGAACAAGTGCAGGATGAACAACAAAGGGGGACTTGGGACTGGCCAGCTTCCTTCTGGGCCCTGTCAGAGCCCCATTGGGAGGATGAATCCCAAGTTCAGCCCCAGCACCATGCATTTGTGTAGGATTCCGGAGCTGGAAGGGCCTGGAGAGCACCCAGCCTCTCCCCTCTTTGCTAAGAGGAAAAATAACTAACCCTCCCAGGATGGAAGGTCTGTTTTCTTTTTTGCTCTTTCCAGTGTGGACATTCAGCCAGTTTCAGTCCTAGACCTTGACAGTGAAGAAGTGCCTCTTTATGTCTTGAGTTAGCTTTGCGTGTAGCTCAGGAACATTCCTTTCTGCAAAATATATATGTTTTTCATTATAAAGTAATATGACCACATTACAGAAAACAGATACGAGGGGAAAAAAGTAAGTCATCCATAATCCCATGACCCGAACATAAGCACTGTCAGCATTTGCTATATTTCCGTTGTCTGTTTTTCTTCCAATGCATCTGCTTTTTCCATACTTGCAGTCATGGCATACATACAATTTTGTGTCCCGCTTTTTCACTTAATATTTCCCTTTAAGTTATATACCATAAGCACTTTTTCATATTTGCCACGTAGCCTTATTTTTAGTGGCTATATATTATAACCATAGACTAGACCATTTCCTTTCATTATGTCTGGGATAGTAGGCCTGGGGTTTATTTGCCAGCTGAAAGCTTACCATTATCTTTTTCTTTTTTTCCCTCTGCTTTCTCCAGGCACCAAGTTTTCAGAATTAACGTCAGAAATGGAGATGAGATCAGCAAACTCAATCGGCTAGTGAATTCAGACAACCTTAAGGTACTTAGTTCTCTTTCTCTTGAGTATCAATTAACTGTGGTGAGAGAAGACTCTTGCAGCACTGGCATTGTTATTCTTGAAGAGTTTCTGTGTATAATCCTATATTAATCAACATGTCTTTATACAATGGAGAGAGTTGGTGGGGAAGTGCTCTCCAGGGAGATGGGGTCCTCTGCAGAGGGCTTCATCTTTCTCTCTGCCATTGACTTGTTACTCCTTGAGCTTTGCCATGTGTTGCCTGCTGGGCAGGCCTGACCAGATAAAACTGTGAAATGGCAGAAGTTTGCCCTTGTGCAGAACTCAGCTTCTCAGGGGCCACCCAGGCTTTTGGCAGTTGTTCTAGAAGAATGAGTCCATTGTACCTTTTACCTGAACTATCCTTTAACCTGGTTTTACTTCTTTTCTCCTCAGCTCAACTTGTGGAAATCTCCCCCTGCCCTCGGTCATCCTACAGATGTCCTGGTCCCTTCTGTCAGTCTGCAGGAAGTCAAATCCTTCCTGGAGGACCATGACTTAGAGTACTCAGTGGCTGTTGAAGACCTGCAGGTGGGTAGGCCAAGGTCCCTCCACTGGTCTTGCATAGGACCAAGCAGCCAGAGTGGACTTGGAAAATTTTCAAGTTCTGGCCTCATTCTTATCCATTGAACAGATGAAGACATTGAGGTATATGGAAGTAAAGTGCAGTGATTTGTTAGAGGAACATGTTGTGCTAGAAAGGGCTTACATGGCAAAAGGGCTTGCATGGCAAACCAATCAGATCTGGATTCAAATCCTGATTTTGCTAACTACTAGCTGTGTAATTTTGGACAAACTGTTACCCTCTTGAGACTCTGTTCCTTCATCAGTAAAATGGTAATAGTTATACCTACTTCATATGATTAATTGAGATTAAGTCCTTAAATGTACATAAAATGTCTAACAGTGCCTGGTATGTCATAGCTACCCCAAAAGTATTAAGTCTCTTTTTTCTTATTTGAAGTCAAGAGGGAAGAATAGAGTGTGTGCTGGTGGGGAGGTGCTGAAGGCCAGTCATAAAAAATATCCATTGAGAATTCTTTGCTGGTCCAGTGGCTTCACACTTTCATTGCAAGGGGGAGAAGTTCAATCCCTGGTCAGGGAACTAAGATCCTGCATGCCACGTGGCATGGGCAAGATAAATAAATAATAAATAAGCACCATTGGCAAAAGGGAGAATGTTACCAGCAGCCCCTAGCAGAGTCAGTGTCACTGCCCAAGTCAGACACCAGCCTCATGAGCTGTATTTGAACAGCAGGATAGTGTCTGACTCACGTTCTCTCCTTCACCGAGGTGGGTTGTGGACTAATTGGTGATTTGGCCTGGGAGTTTCCTGATGGTGTGAGCAGCTGTGAGCTTATTAATCATCCTCACATGTCACAGACATCTGCCAGGAGCCTTCAAAGTAGGAGTGGTTATAAGAATTTCTTTGTTTCTGAATGGTTTCCCAAGCTGGGTATTTCAGAGGCACTGGATACCAGATGCAGGCTGACATCTAGAGAATTCATAGTATAGAATAACCAAATGGCACATATGTTGCTTCCAGGGAGAAAGTGAGTTTTGAATGAGGTGATGTATGTTGGGCTCCAAGAAGTAAGATTTTATAGATATGGGGAAGAAATCTGACCCCCTTTTACACCTTGACATTTGTGCTTCTTGATATGTGTGCTGAGGATGCTGCCATCTTGGCCAGCCAAATATCCCAAGATAGAGTGGAAACAACATGAACCTCTGTCCCCAGAGAATCACTTTGTAATGTTGCCATGTCTGTTTTAGACTATTTTAGATGCTGAAAAGCAAGAAATGCAACACAACGTACATCAAGAACTGAGCAGCAATTGCTTTAACTATGGGGCCTATCACACCCTGGAAGCTGTAAGTATTTCAGAGCAGGCAAAGATCAGATCATTGGCCTTTTGGGTTTTGTAACCCTTCTCCTTACTTTCAGGAGGTTTTAGTCCCTAGTTCAGTATGCCTACAATGAGGGGTTAAAATGTGTACACTTCAGTTTCATTCTAATTCTTGGGTTGTTTATCTCCTAAGAGAAGAGTGAAATGCAAACTGAACATTTACTCCCACATGCATCCTTCTTTTCTTTAGCAACCCCTCAAAGAAAACCATGAAGTAATTGCAACCATTTTCAGTCCTCGTAACTCAACCTTGTTATATTCCACCAGAATCCCTGTACTTTATTCACCCAGATTAAAATGTTACTTATCCCAGGCAAATAGACAAGTGATTATTTCCAAGGTTAACCAAATATTTCCACTCATTTATCATGACTACTTATAATGTATATTTGTTCCATAATACATGTTGGTGCTGTGTTTAGTTAGAAATCACTTATATAAATGACTTTCAAGGTAAGCCAACCCTTCAAATAAGAAATTTGGAGCAGAATAATTTAACGTAATATTGGAATTTGAAGAACCAAGAAAGACTGGAATGGAACTGGATCACGTAGCCTATGGTTTTCTTAGGCCCCTCAATGTTTTTTTCCTTAGTCTGGAAACTCTCTATTAACTCAGGAGCAAACCTCAAATCTAAACTGGTATTCTGTTTCCTATAGCTGAATATATATCCAAAGATAGAGTTCCTGGCATGCTTTTCATGAGGCATATACTTTGAATTATTTTTCTTTCAGATGAGGTTTTTTTTTTTCCCAAGCTTTTTTTTTCCCACTTCTTTCCCAGGATTGTCAGTAGCTTTGTTTATTGTGTACACTTGGCCACACTGCCCCTTGATCCCTCTTGTGACCAGTGACATACATCTGCAAAACAGCTGGATAAAGTTAGGAGTTCAGTCCAGGGCCATGGACGAAAATGGAGCTGAGGCCCACACAGGGATCCAACCCCCGATGATAGCCTCATTAACATGGGGCACTCTTGAGTTGAGCTAACAGGTTGCAAATGTCACCCAAGATTCTGGAAACACCATCCCCTCACCTTCCTGCTGCAGGAGCCTCACATTCCTATCCACTCAATTTTGTTCTCTGACTTGAGGTATCATTGTCATCTGGCTTGCAGCAGAAGGCTGCTCGTATTCAGTTCTTTCTAAAAACAGCTTTTAAAAGCACATATCCCACAATCACTTGAGCCTTCTTAGGTCTCTAAAGGGAATTTCATGTTTGTCTCTGCCAGGGTTTCTAATTTCAGACCCTTTGTGCATATTGTTGTGGTGGCAGTTACTTTTGTTATTGTTGTTGGTAAGCTTTCCCCTCGTGTTGGCACTGTGAATTTGCAACCCCTGTCTGGACACAGCTTGTTGTTCTAACTTTTCCTGAGTACTCTCTTTCCTCTCATGACTCTGGGCAGGCATCTGGCTTTTGCTCCACTTTCTAGGGTCCGTGGGTAGAGTTTCCAGGCCCTTTTCATGGCCATAATTACTACTTTCTAGCTCACAAGTTGGAACTTCTCCTTGTTCCAGGCAGCGTCCTTTGCCCTCTACTCCTCTTCCTGTAGGAAGCCTTGCTCCTTCTTGCTGTAAACCCTCAGAACCTAAGATGGACATCTAGCCCTGGGGCTTCATCTTTTGTCTTGTACTCTGTTAGCTTGCTCTCTCTTCATTTCTGGCACAATTTTTCCTTTTTTTTTTTGGCTTTTAAATTTGCCTGGGACTCATTTTCATAGTATTTTATCTGACTTGCCTATATATTTGAGGGTGAGTTTCTTGCTCAATCTGCTATAGTGACTGCAAGTCTGATAAACCCTTTAAGCTTGATTTTATTCTCTATTGATGGCACACTTTCTTTCTCTGTAAAGCTCCTTCTTTCAAATTTAAGGTCTAAATATAAATTCCATTTATTTCCTTATTTCAGCCCTCAAAAAGTTTGAACAACTAAGGTGGATGAATTCCATTTTTAAAGCAAACCCCCCCCTTTTTTATTTTACTGAAAGCAAATGGAAGCATTTATAACCTTGCTTTATTATAGCTCTTCAACTGAGATATCAAAGTCTTTAGAAGAATCACTTCCAAAGTGGAGTGCTTGTATAGTGGGGTGTAAGCAAGATAGTCCATTGGGTTGGAGGAATAAACTGTTGCAATTTCTATTTATATTTCTACATATATTTGAATTTTATTAATGTAACAACTTTTGTTTCTATTTTTTATTTTATAATGTACATCATATACTTGTGTGGTATTATATGTATTCATAATACATGCTGAATTTTCTTTCTAACTGATGGGAAGAGTGATAAAAAAATGATGAAAAAAAGTTCTTTTAAGAACCTTGGCTAAATGGGGCCTTTGCTGATTATCTAGACTCAGTTCAGTTCAGTTGCTAAATCCTGTCTGATTCTTTGCGACCCCATGGACTGTAGCACGCCAGGCTTCCCTGTCCTTCACCAACTTCCGGAGCTTGCTCAAATTCATGTCCATTGAGTCCTTGATGCCATCCAACCATCTTGTCCTCTGTTGTCCTCTTCTCCTCCCACCTTCAGTCTTTCCCAGCATCAGGGTCTTTTCACATGAGTCAGTTCTCATCAGGTGGCCAGAGTATTAGGGTTTCAGCTTTAGCATCAGTCCTTCCAATGAATATTCATGACTGATTTCCTTTAGAATTGACTGGTTTGATCTCCTTACAATCCAAGGGACTCTCAAGAGTCTTCTGCAGTACCATAGTTCAAAAGCATCAATTCTTTGTCACTCAGCTTTCTTTGATGTCCAACTCTCAATCCATACATGGCTACTGGAAAAATCATAGCTTTGACAAGATGGACCTTTGTTAGCTAAGTGATGTCTCTGCTTTTTAATATGCTGTCTAGGTTGGTCATAGCTTTTCTTCCAAGGAGCAAGAGTATTTTAATTTCATGGCTGCAGTCACCATCTGCAGTGATTTTGGAGCCCAAGAAAATAAAGTCTGTCACTGTTTGCATTGTTTCCCTATCTGTTTGCCATCAAGTGTTGGGACCGGATGCCTTAATCTTAGTTTTTTTGAATGTTGAGTTTTAAGCCAGCTTTTTCACTCTCCTTTTTCACTTTCATTAAGAGGCTCTTCAGTTCCTCTTTGCTTTCTGCCATAAGGGTGGTGTCATCTGCATATCTGAGGTTATTGATATTTCTCCCAGCAATCTTGATTCCGGCTTGTGCTTCATCCAGCCCAGCATTTTGCATGATGTACTCTGCATATAACTTAAATAAGCAGGGTGATAATATACGGTCTAGACTAGTATAGTGCAAAGGGCCACACTTTTGGAGCAGTATCTGTATAAGTGTTTCTACTCTCATTTAATGGACTATAATTTTGTGGACAAATAAAATGTGTTTTTCTCTAGAAAATAGAGATGGATTCTTAGGCAGTTGCTTAATAATAAGCGTTTCATATTGTCAACCCCAAGGTTAGGGGACTATAAAAAAATTGTTAAGATCAACAAAATAAAGTTCGCAGATACCCATCTCAAGCTTAACAAATTTTTTAAATGTCCCTGTGTTTACTTTTTCACACTTCAGATTCACAAAGAGATGGACAACATTGTCAAATATTATCCTCGCTTGGTGAGCACAGTGACGATTGGGCATTCATTTGAGAACCGATCGATGTATGTACTGAAGGTGAGGTTCCGTGCACGTTGAAGGGCCTGACTGGACTCAGGCTCCTGGTTCCTTGTGTCTAGGACTCAGCCCTCACACTTTTGAAAGAGGCAGCTTGTCAGGACCTCCTTGGCTTCAGGGAGGAGGGTGAGGTGGGGACACCTTTGCTCGGGTTGGGAGTTGTTCTGACACAGGGTCCCCTGCTTCTGCTTATTGTGAATGGAGTTAGAAGGAGCACATCCCTTTCCAAGTTTTGGCCGAAAGGCAGGATCAAGGAGAGGTGAGTGGACTTCCCTGGTGGACCAGTGGTTAGGAATCCACCTGCCAATGCAGGGGACCTAGGTTCAATCCCTGGTCCGAGAAGACTCCACAAGCTGAGGGGTAGCTAAGCCCGTGCCCCACAACTACTGAGCCGACGCGCTAGAGCCTGTGTGCCACAACTACTGAGTCTGCAGCTACTGAAACCTGTGAGCCCTAGAGCCTTGCTCTGCAACAAGAGAAGTCACCACAACTAGAGAAAGTCCATGCACAGCAATGAAGACCCAGAGCAGCCAAGAAAATTAATAAAATTTAAAAAATGAAAGAAGTGGGAGGTGGTTAGTGTTTCAGAAAGCTTTCAGATTGGCCACAGTCTTTTGCCTCCATTCCCATCTTCTGTAAATATGAAGACAAATTGGGATGGGTCTGAAAATTCCATTCTGCTTTTTAGGGGTACTTATTGGAAAAGCAATCTAGGAGGGTAATTTTGGGGTTGATGTGGTTTTAAGCCCAGTCTATGATCCTTGGCTGCATCAAGACTAATTTCCAGATATTTCTAACAGATTTTAGGTCTATATTGGCAAAAGAGGCAAAGAATTTATGGCAGTGACATAAATTACGTAAATAATCCAGCCAAAGGAATAAAAAGGAATTTGGAGATATAAACCATGGAACAAGTGATGGTGCCTAGAATTTGTCAAACCCTTAGATCCATACAGGTCCTGAGGGATCCAGGCTTACAGCAATGGTGGAATTACCAGTGGGAGAAGACCTGCCTTTGAGCTGGTTGCTGTCAGATAATCTACATAAATTTAGATTATTTGCCAACTAATTACCTTTGCTTCATTAGCACCAACCTCTGACCCAAGGGGGCCCAACACTAAAAGTCAGCAGTCAGAATTCATTTCATGCAGTGAGCAATAGTGAACTCTCCCTTCCTCATTTTAAAACTCATTTCATTTATGGCATCAGCTAGAACAGGCTGGTTCATGCACTTTTGTGTCTCTCTCTGTTGAGATACCGTTTGAGGTCATTCAAGAGACATAAAGTGAAAGTGAAGTCGCTCAGTCATGTCCGACTCTTTGCGACCCCATAGACTATAGCCTACTAGGTTCCTCCATCCATGGGATTTTCCAGGCAAGAATACTGGAGTGGGTTGCCATTTCCTTCTCCAGGAGATCTTTCCAACCCAGGGACTGAACCTGGGTCTCCCGCATTGTAGGCAGATGTTTTACCATCTGAGTCACCAGGGAAATCCACTTAAGAGACAAAATATTATCTCTAATCACACTGGCATTATAATTCACAATAGCAATTGTTTCCCCTTCCCATTTGCTTCCAACCTTGGAGTGGTTCAAGCTGCCTGGAGCTGTGGTACTGCAATTGGGCCCTGCCAGTCAGCTAATTAAGCTCCCTGACCTGGAGAAACCTGATAAATGGATGGTGCCCTCAGGAACATTTGGTCTCTGAATGGTCTTAAATGGTTTAAATGAATAGGGGTGAGCTGGGAAGAGGAGAGGAGAGGTGAGTAGAGACACGCCAGACAGGAGGGTAATTTTCTGGCCTCTTTTTCCTTCCAGTTCAGCACTGGAGAAGGGAGACAGCGGCCGGCCCTTTGGCTGAATGCAGGCATCCATGCCCGGGAGTGGGTCTCACCGGCCACGGCAATCTGGACCGCGAGAAAGGTCATGTCGCCTAGTATTAGCCCAGAATTCTGCAGGGCCGGGGGTGCCCTGTACTGTACTATGCAGCTGTACCTGGGGTGGGGGGGTAGGTTAGGAGGGCACTCTCACAGGAACAATAGGCTGGGGGTGTCTTTTCAAATTGGAGAAACAAAAGATCAGAGCCCCACAGTCAGCCTCATAGATTAGCTAAATGGCAAAGTCCGCTCAGAGCAGTGAGCATACTAATGAGCTGTAGCGGTGGCCCCGAAACACTGACACATAGTCAGTCCTGCAGGAAGGGAGCAGGGCCTTCTCAGCAGCAAGGCTCAGATAATGTTTACTTTCCGTCCCTTTCAGGCTCCCCTGGCCCTCAGGGACCTCATGCTGTCTCCATGCTCTGTCTGTCTGGAAAGTCTAGTTTAAGCCAGTTCCAGGGGAGGGGGGTGGTGCAAGTGGAGGATCCGTCTTCCCCAACCCTAGCACAGGGGCTCATATTCCTAATAACTGTTATGATGTGTGGTTCTCCCTTCCCCTGCTCCTACCCCCTGGAAGGAAGAATGAACCAGGCAGCCCAGGACTCACTGAAGTTGATGTCATCAGGTAGCCATGTTCCCTCAGATTTTGAAGTGCACTGTGGGCTTTGCAGAGAGCTGCACCTACAAAGGTGGCAGGGAGACTGCCAGAGGGTAGATGCTGTTCTAGGAGCTGGGCATCTGAGGAAGATGCTCTGACTTAGACTTAGCAACCCAGCCTGCAAAGACATAGCTGACAAGCATGTTGTCTCTGCTTAGATTGCATGTGATTATGGGAAAGATGCAATCATCACCTCCACCTTGAAGAAAATGGATATTTTCGTGTTGCCGGTGGCCAATCCTGATGGATATGTATACACTCATACTCACGTGAGTAATACTGACAGATGGGCTGGGCTTGGAGTTAAGAGCTGTTTGTCAATTTCCTTGTTTTGTGACTGCATAGATCTATGACCTTAGATAAAAATTCCCCAAAATGTGCACTCTAGGAGCTTCCTTGGGGGGGTCTCATTTTCCAGTCATTCTGTGGGCTGAGGGTTACCAGGGAATATTTTTTTTCTTATAGAGAATCGTCTAGTGAACTCCCTATTATGGATCTTGAACAATTATCAACACTTTACCAATCTTCTTTTCGTTTCTTTCCCTCCCACACATTTTTTTTTTCTGACATATTTTAAAGCAAATCCAAGACATCAGGTTACTTCATTCAGAACTTCTTTAGTATTCATCTCTAGCTGATGATAATTAAAACACCACTATCAACAGTAAAAAAATTTGATGGAAGTTTTTCAATATCATCTGATATCCCTAATTATCTTTAAAATGTCTTTTGAGTCAATTTGTTGAAATTAGGATCCAAATAAGGTCTGTACCTATATTTGGTTGTTACAACTATGCAGGCTTTTTTATTGCACAACATCTTCCCCACCCCACCCTACCCCCACATGTCTTTTAGAATGTCATTCATTTGTTGGAGAAACCCAAGTAAGTTGTCATGTAGAATGTGTCACATTCTGAATTTGCCTGATGACTTCTTTGTTCTGTACCATTTAATTTATTCCCTCATCCCCCATGTTTCCTATTCACTTGTGGTCAGATCTAGATGCTTGATTGGAGTCAGGTTAATTTTTTAGGCAAGGGTTAAATAGTTCCTGTGCACTTGCTATCACGTCAGTTCTCACTGAGGCCCATAATGTCCATTTGTTCCACTTTGACTGAAGCCCTAAATTATTCAATGGATTCAGGTGGTATCAGGTCATTTTGGGGAAGTCCTTTTCTCCCAATCAGGAGGCGAATTCTCCCTTCTGGGGAAGGAGAGGAGACTCTGCAGTTAGTGAGGGCTGAAAGCCCGATGATCCACCAGATCTCTGAAGTTGCCTCCAGAACTTCAGGCAGCTTGCCCCATCCATGGTACCACCTCCATCATAGGCCCCCAAAGAAAATCTTCACCTCTTCTGTGCCCTGACCCACCTCTGAATGCTGTTTCTTCCTTGGTGAATTTTTCAGAACCGATTATGGAGAAAGACACGGTCTGTAAATCCTGGAAGCACCTGCATTGGTACTGATCCAAATAGAAATTGGAATTCTAGTTTTGGAGGTAGGTGGGGGAGACAGTTATTAAATCCTGATACCTCTGGGTAGCCTGGTCCTCAGGCCTCTGAGCTGGCAGTGAGGGAACTGGCTTGTAGGCTGTCTCTATTGCTGGTTCATTGAGAAACTGGGCAAATTCCTTATCCTCTCTATGTATCACTCTATATTATTGTTCACTGTAATTTTGAAAGGGAATAACTGAGCAGTTTCTGTCCTCCTGAGATAACACTATTATCTTTAAAACCATTCTATCTTATACAAATCCACGGGCTGACTTTCTACCTGGCCATCCCGGTTCCTGGGCAAGTTACTGAATGGTGGAAGGGCTCTTGGTGGTAACACAGAAGAGAGCAATTAGCACTGTTACCCCAACAGGCAAGATGACATTGTGAAGATTAAACTCTAGCAGTTTACCCTTAGATGTATAAATATGAACCTCTGCCCTTTAATGTTATGGAAAGAGAATGAGAATTAGGAGATGTGGGTTCTGAGTTCCAGCTATTTAAAAATCATCCCCACAGTAGTGCCGACTATATGGTACATAACTTCCCATGTATTATTTATTCTTCTGACCTAGAGAGTGAGTTTTCATACTGGAAATGGGACAGTGGAAGCTCAGCGACAGTCTCAAGAGCATATGGTTGATGAGATTTAGGATCTAAACTCACTTTTCAATTCCAAATTCTGGTGGTTCTCTTTCACTGTTCCACAGCTATACTGATGTTTTGCTTTTGATGTGATGTTTTAATGTAACGGTTTTAATTTCTTACTTGCATAGAAATACCACACAAACCATTGGGGGAAAAATAATGTGACTGTGGGAAAGGAGCTGATAAAAATGTGGCAATTGAGGGCATCAAAGCTAAGTCACAATAGGGATGCTTTCACATACGTGTCAGATACCTTAGGGGGCTATATTGTGAAGTAATACAGAAGGCAATAATTTTAAATATCTGTCAAATAATCAAGAGATTTTAGCCACAACAATAGATTATTTTTGGCGGCACTTGGCCATTAAGATCTGAACCAAGAGAATTAGTTGACACTGGAATAAATGGAGTCATTTTCATTATTAATTAGTATTCATATTAATTATCAAGAATACATAGTAATTACTCATTGTAAAATATTACATTAGTTGTTGGTGATACAGTACAAGGTCAACTCTATCCGTTTTAAGGAGTCTTATCAATTTTCCTGCTTAACACTGGCATATTCAGCACCCCACTTCCACACCCTCCCCACAGTATATATACATTGTGGACTAGATTCTCAGGGCAGCCAGCAGTGGCCTGTGCATGCCTTCTGCCTCTCCTCTGGGTGGAGAATCCTGCATTTTTATTTCCATAGCCATTGGGTTAACGTTTCTGCTTGGATCACTCCCCACAGGAGTGGGATCCGTTGCCGACCCTTGCTCTGAGGTATATCATGGACCCTATCCCCATTCAGAAGTGGAGGTGAAATCAGTGGCAGATTTCATTAAAAAACATGGGAACTTCAAATGCTTCATTGACCTGCACAGCTTCTCACAGATGGTGTTGTATCCATATGGCTACACAGCTACGAAGGCCCAGGATGCTGATGAACTGGTAAGTGGTATATGTGTTTCCTCTGGGTGCTGCTACAGTGGTGGTTCTCGAGCTTTGTAGAGAAAGTCCAGGAGCTGGGCTTGTTTCCAGAAGGGCCCAGTGTTCTCTCTCTGTTCTCTGCAATGTGCCATCAGGCCTACTGGGAACAGGAAGAAGATGATCCTCCTTACTTCTGTGTTTGCTGTGAGTTCCAAGATCCACATTGGATGCTGTTTTTCCTTCTCACCTGTCTTTCTGACCAAAATGTATTGCAGATCCACTGCTTGTAAGGAACTGTGGGCGGCTTTGTGGTGGGCAAGGGGGAGGTGCTCCTCCCTCGGGATATGGTAGAATTTAAGTAGGGTGTAGGCCACAGCCCGGGGCTGCTCTGTGCCGCATGCAGTGAATCACCCCAGGATGTGAGCAGACACTTAGAGTGGACTGATTGGAGTGGGCCTGACTCCTGCAGAGTGATTGCAGGCCTCTCTCTCTCTGCTCGTTTGCTTGAGTGTGCCCCTCTGCCGGGGGCCACAGCTAAGGGCTTATGACTTGGTGTGGCCTATATTCTGGTCTCCAGCAGGTCCTCTGTGTAGGGCACATCCATATGTGGGGGCCCTGTCTCCACCTCCATTCTGAGAACACCCAAACTCTTAAAAGGTTTTCTCTTGAACATACTTGCCCTTCCCTTGTCTTTGTGAACGTGACATTCCCTTCCCTCAGGTTAGGTGAACATGGTGATGCCTTTACTAGATTTCTAATGGGCTGGTGAGCAGCCCTCCAGATCTGCAAAGAGCTGCAATACAGCACCCCAACTTGAGTTTATAATACACCTGCTTTCAGAGCACTTATCTGGCCGCCTTCCACCTCTCTGCTTACCCTGGTCCCAAACTGGAAGTAAAGAACTGAGGATGTGATAGAAGGAGTTGGAGGAACCATTACATTTCTCTCACTTTATAGTTAGGCCTTGGCTCTGGTCGGATGGGAAAGAAGGAGACCGGAAGGGAACATTGGGTGTGGGGGAAGGGTGGGAGGGGGTTCGGGAATCTTCCAATCCACTGCAGTACAGAACAGCTGAGGAACATCTGGCTTCAGAGTCCATTCTTTCTCACTCTAATGATCTCCCCGTTCCTAGGATATGGTGGCGAGGAATACAGCCAAAGCTCTGGCTATGTTGTCGGGCACTCAGTACCGAGTGGGTTCTATCTTCTCCATTACCTGTAAGTACTCCTTGAGTTTACTGGTTACTAGGGAACACTTGGAGAGGATACTTGAAGCTGGAGAAGAACCGCAAGACAACCTTTTTTTATATTGTAACCTGTTTTCGTTGCTAGTGATAGGCTGAATTTATGTCAAGTCTGTTTGGTGGTAGTTGTTGCAGGCAACCGTCTTCATCAAACTGGGGTGGTGGTACCAGGGCGTGGAGGGGACCCCCTCACCTTCCTGTCTGAAATGAACACATGCATAGCAGGCTTGGTTTAGGAGGTCCTCTGGACTGTCATTAGCATTGAGCTGAAAAAAACAAAAAACCTCTATGAAGACTCCAGACCTGACGAGGGTCTTGAGACCCATCACCTACAACTCAATCTCAGTTTCAGGAAATACCCTTGTTTTGGTTTCTCACTGAAGTGTTTCACCTGAGCATTTCACTCTATTCCTGCTGAGATCCTTCTAGCTCTATTATTCTGTGATCTGATCTTTAAATTTTTAGATCAGATTGAAAGATATGATTATTCTCCAAGGCCCTAGCTATAAATGGGAAATAGAAACACAAAACATGGGGAGCTAAGCTCCTTTCAAACAAGTGCCCTTCTTTTCCCCCTCTGGTGCCTCCTCTGTAAATAGTTTTCCAACAGTTGGTCTGCCCTCAAAGCCCCTGCAAACTTGCCGATATTTCTTTCCTTTTCCATACTGTAACTCCCTCTCCCATCCTACTTACTTTGCCCTCAACTGCTGTTCTCCTCAGTCTTCCTCTTCTGTGAAGATTCTCCATCCCACCTCCTAGGTCCTCATCTGTACTGTGACCTCGGCACTCTTGTCTGTATTTTACATGCCACCAAGCTGCATAAAGCACTTAGCAGGATGTTGATGTTTGTGTTGCTAATTGCATCAACAAGCCAGTAATTACTCATGGTTTATCATTACTTGTTGAATGGGAACACCTCTGAGAACAAACACATCAGGAGAGGTTCACCACCCTCTATTTAATTAGTCAGAACTGAGCCCTATGCCAAAGAGAGCTAAAGGAACTTGGCAGGAGCCTTCTGAGGAGGTCCTCTCCAAAGATCTCTGCAGGTCACCAGAGTCCTGGTCTTTGGGTCTAAATGCCAGTTTAAGGAATGGCCTTTTCTTCCCATATCAAAAAACATTCTTCTTTCCAACATAAGCTGTGCCCAAAGTAAGATATACTCATCAGATTGCTCCGACAGAATAGGAGAAAGGCTCTCCTGAGTGTTATCAAGAGACATAATATTTTCTACCTCTTTCAAGAGCCCATCTTCTGTATTTTTTATAGGCTTTGCCTGCCCTCCTTTCTTCCCCAAAGTGAAATCAATTTTTGTATAAAAACACTCTAACTCTCTGGGTTAGGGTGTGTGGGATGTAAGTAGTTGACATTTGTCCCTTCAAGTGCTGACCCTTTCCTTAGATTAATCCTTTCAGATGAATTATAATATACATTTTAGATGAATTATAAAATTTGTATATATTATTCAGTTATACAAATTATTTGTATTTGTGTAAATATAAATAATTCTAAAATGGATTTGCACACTCTCCTGCCTTCTTTGAGCATGTAGAAGAGATTTAAGCTCCTTTCTTCATGACTCAGTGGCCTTCTGAATGTCGGTTGTGGTATCTTGAAAGCCTTCTGTGCTGTATTGGACTGTTCAATCCTTTTGCTGAATAGCCCAGCTTGATTTGCTTCTTTAATTCTTGTGTCTGCTTTCTAGAGTTTTCATGTCTCCTTCCTTGGGCCACCTTCCTCTAGCAACCCTTTCCTCTCTTCACAGATTCTGGTCTACTAAGGGCTTAGAAACAAATTCTTTGAGCTTGTTTGGCTCATGGGTAGATTGTGAGTTTTAAGGATGTTCATGATAACATTGTTTAGTCACAGAAGACTGGGAAGCACCTAAATGTTTATCAATAGAGTACTGAATAAAAATGTATTTAGTGCATTCCTACAGTGAAACAGAAAAGGAAATGGCAATCCACTCCAGCATTCTTGCTTGGGAAATCCCATGGACAGAGGAGCCTGGCAGGCTACAGTCCATGGCGTCAGAGAGTCAGACATGATTAAGCAACTTTACCTCATTTACAGTGAAACACTATGCAGCCCTTAAGTGAATGAGGTGTATCTGTATGTGCTAATAGGAAATAATCTTCAATTGTTAATTGAAAAATAGAGTGAGCACACCAGTGTTATTAGTATGTTCCAAGTTGTGTTTAAAAAAGAGTAGGTAGGTAGACTTAGCAAGGACCCAAGTAAAGTGAAATTCTTGAATCTGATCACTTTATTCAGCAGAGGTCCTCTTGCCCTCTTCCTGAATTTAAAACCTGTTCTGAAATACTTGAGCTTTCTATGTAACTTGCTGGTGCCATAGTCTGTTTTTTATTCAGCATTTTTCTCAAGGTAGAGAAAAGCTGTAGGAATTACACAGGAATTTCAGAGAGATTAGGAGAGCCTATTCCATAACCTTAGGGAACATATAATTGCAGCTGAAGCAGCATCTCTAGAAAATCGCAAATGGTATTATAAGAAACAACCTTCAGGAACAATAGAAAAATGAAGGGACCCATATTTTCATTTAACAGACGTGTGTATATTATGGGCTTCCCTGGTAGCTTAGTTGGTAAAAAATTCACCTGCGATGCGGGAGACTGCCGCAACACTAGAGACACAGGTTCAATCCCTGGGTCAGGAAGGTCCCTTGGAGAAGGAAATGGCAGCCCACTCCAGTATTGTTGCCTGAGAAATCCCATGGACAGAGGAGCCTGATGGGCTACAGTCCATGGGGCCACAAGAATTGGACACAACTGAGCAACTAAACTACCACCACCATATGTTTTATATATATATTTTACATATATACACATTTTATATATGTATAACATAAATATACACACACACATATATATACATATACATACATATACATATGTATATATATAAACATTCTAACTGAACCCCAAGTAGGTTGAAGAAAGTATGGGCTTTGTCATCAGATGGATCTGAATTTCAGCCCTGCCATTTTCCATCTATATTTTCGTAGACAAAGTATTCTATTCTGAGCCTGGATTTTTTTTCTCACCTGAAAAACAGGGACAGTAATACCCACCTCACTGATTTATTAAAGATTAAATGAGATTGTAAATGTAAACTTACCAGTATGATGACTGGCTCATGGTAGATGTTCAACAAATGATAGCTGCTATTGACATTGGTATTTTATTATTCACTATCATCTACACTACACCTTTATCCAGCTTCTGCTATAGTTGAGTTTGACTGGAGGAAGCAGGAAAACAGGCATTTTGCCTTTTCTCAGCCTTTTGACAAAGGGAAGTCCCAAGTGCTTCCTTCTCTCTGTGTTGTTAGTTACCTCTTGAGATGCAAAAAGTTATCCTAAAATTTAGCAGCTTAAAACAATAAACATACATTTTCTTATACAGTTTCTATGGGTCAGGAACTCCAGAACTGCCTAGCTGGATGGCTCTGGCTCAGGTGCTCTCAGGGGGTTGCAGTCAAGATGTCTTCCAGGGTTACAGTCATCTAGAGGCGTAATGGGGCTGAGGGATCTGCTTCTCAGACTCACTCTGGTGCCTGACAAGTGATTGCTAATTGTTGGCAGTGAGTTCTTCACCACATAGACCTCTTTATAAAGGTCTGCTTGAGTGTTCTTACAACATAACAGCCGGCTCTATCAGAGCCAGTAATTCAAGAGAGAGCAAGGGCAGAAGCCATTTTTATTTGTGACCTAGTTTTGAAGGGTGCACACTTTCATTTCTGCAGTCAAACAGGTGATGTTGGCCCTGTCCAGTGTAGGAGGGCATTACACAAGGATGTGAATACTAGGAGATAAGGATCATTGTGGCTGTGTTGGAGGCTGCCTCCCACACTCTGCAGATATTGGCTTCCAGTGACCTGAAGGAGTCCTAACAGTGAAATGGTGACAAATGGAAATGAGGATTTAAAATCTCTTGGATTGAGACCAGTGAAGACCTTCATGGTACAGGACAGTCTGAAACACAGGGATCAGGTCAACATTTCTGTGTAGGCCTGATGACTTTCAGAAAGAACTATAGATCACTAAGGAACCACAGGTTGGCAGAGCTCCTAGCCCCGTCCCATCTAACCCTGAAAGGAACTAGGCTTCAAAGTGTTTTCTCTTTTTGACTCAACAGATGCAGCTAGTGGGAGTACTGTTGACTGGGCATATGATAATGGCATCAAGTATGCGTTCTCTTTTGAGTTGAGAGATACTGGGGACTATGGCTTCGCTCTGCCTGCCAGCCAGATCATCCCCACTGCACAGGAGACCTGGCTGGGGCTGAAGACCATCATCGAGCATGTGCGGGACAACATCTAGAAGAGAGCCTTGTTCTGTCTACATTTTATATCCCCTTGTGCATACACACAGAGGCCCTTATTAAAGAGAGCTTATTCCTTCACACATGTGTCGGAGTCTTCTGGCTTTGTAGAGAACACAGGTCAGCCACCTGCCTGCCCCCTTCCATGTATTTTGTGCTTTCTGGCCATGTGCTGAGAGAAGCACTTCTGCTAGCCTGCTGTGTTTTGGTTCTGCTGTTTCACCGAGCTCTCTGTATGCCTTTCCTTCCACATAGCTGGGTGGGCAAGCCACACTTAGGATCAACCCTTACTGAGTGGCTTGTCTCTACCTCATTTTTAGATCAAAAGGCGTGTGAAATGGTTCTCTAGTTTCATCTGATCTAGCCACACCCATGGCCTTGCTCTGGTGGGAGCCCCAAGGGAAGCGCTGTGGGAGGTAATGCTTGTCTTTCAGACTGGTCTCACAGATGTCACAGAACTTCCTTTAACTGATCTCACTCCTTCTTGAACATATTTTCTTTGAAAAACTAATCCCATAGGTTCCTCAGTACAGGTCAGCCCCTTGTTTTGTTTTTGTTCGCTGTTAGTCTGAATATAAAATATAGACTCACATGTCATCACTGGATCAAAAATTCCCAGATATTACAATTCTGATCACATTCTCCCTTTTATTACTCAGTGTAACTGGGATCCAGAAAGTGATCTGTGTCCTTATAGGTACTGCTCACTCAGAAAGCCTGGATTAAGTGCTGATCTAATATAATAGCAAGATAGCTAAATTATCCCCATGTGTCCTGATGGGCTCACCTCTACTTTGTCTTTTGAACTTACTCCAGAGATCTTTCTCTCACCCTATTGGTCCTAAATCACTCGTCTGGCTTGGGTAATCTTGCCACCCTTGCACATCCCTGTTTGTTCACTAGTGTACCTTGTGTTTCCTTCTCCTGGTTTTCATTTTTTGGAAAGTTGCTTTTTCTATTTTGTATCCTGGACCTTGAGTATCAAGGTGGAGCAGAGATTCATCAGTCAGGCTCCTCTTGTTACATTTTTCCTTAGCATGTACCATCTGCCTGTTTTATTTTCTCTCTCTCTCTCTCTTTTTTAATTTGCTCTTTTCAAACATGTCTGTAAATCTTACCCTTCTGCCTAGGGTTTGGGCAGCATCTGGTATGTGCTCATAAGCCAATAAATATTCAATATGAGTCTCCTGATCATCTTCTATTCTTTGCCTTCACCTGAATGGAACCAAGCCATGGTTGGTTTTGAATATGCAGCTCTTTATAATGTCAAAAGTCAATTTTAATCCCTGTCCATATCACATGACATACCCTTCTCCATCAGGCTGAGGGGCCTCCAGGGTAATGTTACCTTGGTGATTGCGCTCTGGTCCTGGGTCTAGTTCTTAGTTTTTCAGCTCAGAGGCTTGATATTTTCTGTGTCTGTATTGATTAGACTTGGGGATGCTGACTCACGCCTCCAGAGCTTAGATGAGGCACATGATAAAATCAGAATACAAATTTATTAATTTACATCATGGCATGTAACTGTTTAGTGGATTGGATCCTCACGTCGGCCTGAACAGTACATTCTCTCCCTGTAGGCAAAGATACATGGGAAGCCAAATTATAATCAGAAGGTTGTTTAGTGAGCGGGGCGTCAGAGCAAGGAAAGTTAATTACAGTCTATGATTAGAATTTTTAATGGTATCCAGCTCTAATAGCATTGATATATCCAATTCTATAACCAAAGCACACCTGCCAGCCAGCTGGTCGCTTGTGCTGGCTAGTCAGGGCTGCTTCAGACTAGACAAATGCCTCAGTAGATATAACATGCTTGCCTCTGTGACTTGCCTGTAACCTCTGTTTGTGGAACCCCTTGCCCACCCCCAAGATTGAAATGGTCCTTTAGATTCCTTAAGAGAAAAATTTATTAAACAAGGCATAAAAACCATAAAAGAATACCTGTGACTATAATAAAATTAAGAGATATCATTAAAAGACTCTATAAAATGAGAAAACAAGTTGGAAATTAGAAGATAGCCATAATATTCATAATACACTCAAAAGACAAAAGACATACAAAGAACTCCTACAGATTAGTAAGAAAAGGATAAATAATCCAATAGAAAACTGGATAAAAGATATGAGCAAACACTTCACTTAAGAAGAAGTAACAGGTATTCTGATAACATAGGAAGATATGATTGGCGCTTCCCCCATGGCTCAGCAGTAAAGAAACTGCCTGCAAAAAAAAAAAAAGAAAAGAAACTGCCTGCAATGCAGAAGCTGCAGGAGAAGCAAGTTCGATCCCTGGGTCAGGAAGATCTCCTGGAGAAGGAAATGGCTGCCCACTCCATTATTCTTGCCTGGAGAATCCCATGGACAGAGGAGCCTAGTGGGCTACAGTCCTGGGATCACAAAGAGTTAGACACAGCTGAGTGACTGACACTTTCAGGAAGAGATGATTACTGATGGAAGACATACAAATCAAAACCAAAATGAAAAGCCATTTTATACTCATTCAGTTTATATAAGTCAGAAATTTGGAGGACCCTGGTGGACAGTAGATAGGAATCTGCCTGCCAAAGCAGAGGATACTGATTTGATCCCTGGCCTGGGAAGATTCCATATGGCGTGGAGCCACCAAGCCTGTGTACCACGTCACTGAGCTTGTCTCTAGAACCTTCACACTCCAACTTCTGAGCCAGTGTGGTGCAACTACTGCAGTCGGTGTGCCTACAGCCTGTGCTTTGCAACGAGAAGCCACAGTAATGAGAAGCCTGCACACTGCAACGAAGAGCATCCCCCGTCAAATCAAACTCTTAGAGAAAGCCCACAAGCAGCAATGAAGACACAGTACAGCCAAANAAAAAAAAAAAAAAAGAGAAAAGTTGGAGAGGAGGTAGATAACAGGATCTCTTATACCTTGTTGGTGGGTGTGTGAATTAGCAAATTAACCTTGGAGAATAGTTTGGCATTATCTTCTAAATTTCACACTTCCATCCATCCCTTCCATCTCTTCCACCTCAAGCATTGCTGTTCAGTCGCTAAGTTGTATCCGACTCTTTGTGACCTCATGGACTGCACCATGCCAGGCTCCCCTGCCCTTCACTGTCTCCCAGAGTTATAAACCCAAGAAATTCTTGCAGTATGTAACTGGAGACATATATGAGAATCTTCACAGCAACACTGTTCATAACAGCAAAAACCTGAAAACAACTTAAAAGTCCACCAGTGGCACAGTGGGTGAATAAATATGGTATTTTCACATACTGAAATATTATACTACAGTCAGAACAAAATTTAGTGTGATTTCCTTTCTAGAAAGTTCCAAATAATTGGGAGGTAAATATATATATATATATAATTTATATATACGCATATACACACACTTATAAGGAAGACATACAAAATTTGACAAGACTATGTAAAAAAGTAAGCAATAGTAAAACAAGTCAGACAGAGAAAGACAGATACTGTGTTATCAGTTATATGTAGAATCTGAAAAATAAAACAAATGAGTGAATATAACAAAAAGGAACAGACTCACAGATATAGAGAACAAAGTGGTGTGTAATGGGGAGAGGGAAGAGGGAGGGGGCTAGATAGGCATAGGGGATTAAGAGGTACAAACTACTATGTATAAAATAAATGAGCTATAAGGATATATATTGTCCAGCACAGGGAATATAGCAAATATTTTATAATAAATACAAATGTAATATAATCTTTAAAAATTATGAATCACTTTGTTGTACACCTAAAACATGCAATATTATAAATCAGCTATAACTCAATAAAAAGGATAGGAGGGAAGCACGATATAGTAGACACACCCAGCCCCCTTTTCCTGGTCAAGTGCACTTATCCCTAGCTACTATGAATGTTGGCTGTCAAACATATCAGGCCCCATCCTTCTCTGGAGTATTGCCATTAGCCAAATGGAGGTTGCCTTACCCAGGAAACCATGCACCTGCTTTCTGTTTATCACCTCCCCAAATGTCAGTCCATCACTGACTGACTCTGGGTCCAAACAGGTAGTCTTTGCTTCCAGGTAGAGTCAATGCTGTGGTTCACTGTATGCCTGAGAGCTCTGAATCCAGGCTCCAGCAGATTCCACATCCTTGCTTAGCTATTTTCCCCTCTCCATCCCTGCTTCCCAAACACCCCTTCTCCTGAGAACTCCCTCAGTAAATCATCTAAACAAGAATCTCATCTCAGGATCTACTTGTAGGGAAATGGAGAACCTGGGATTCTGAATGATGATTACCTTAGATGGGGAGAGGTTGGGACATGAGATAAGGGTCAAAGCCCTTTGGTGAGATGAAGGACCTGAGCTTTTGTTTTAGGTTACCTTTTTTTTTCCAGGTAAAAAACCTAATTCAACAGCTAAATAACAAAAGAGGGCATGCCATTAACCAAGGATTACAATTAATCCTTAATTGCAATTAATTTGTGATTACAATTGCAATTAATTTGGATTAATTACAATTAATTACTTTGGCCATCTGATATGAAAAACTGACTCACTAGAAAAGACCCTGATGCTGGGAGAGATTGAAGGCAGGAGGAGAAGGGGATGACAGAGGATGAGATGGTTGGATGGCATCACTGACTCAATGGACATGAGTTTTAGTAAGCTCTGGGAGTTGATAATGCACAGGGAAGCCTGGCATGCTGCAGTCCATGGGGTCGCAAAAAGTCAGACATGACCGCGTGACTGAACTGAACTGACAATCTATTTCTAGGACTTCCCAGGTGGCTCAGTGGGTAAAGAATCTGCCTGAAATGCTGGAGACACAGGAGACATGGGTTTAATCCCTGGGTTGGGAAGATCCCCTGGAGGATGGAATGGCAACCCATTCCAGTATTCTTGCCTGGAGAATCCCATGGACAGAAGAGCCTGGTGGGCTACAGTCTATAGGATTGGAAAGGGTCAGACACAACTGAGTATGCACACATGGACCTGAAATCCAATTTTTAAAAGTGTTTACAAAGATATAGGTTTTTTTTTTTAAGGTTTTACTATGCAACATACATGCAGCATGCATTTATTGAGAATCTAATGTGTACCAGGGACAGTTTTAGATGCTGGCAATGCA